CGAATCATTCTCATACTTAACATAAAACTATTATACTTGATACATATACAATCGGGCACCATAACATAATTAACTTTTTAAATTTGCCCTCTATACTCTCAATACCTTGTAGCAAAGGCTATAAACTCTATCCGTAAACCAAACCAAACCTTTCGCGACGCACGGCTAAAAAAAAACGACACAACGATATATACATATATAAAACAAAACATTCGAATATATTAAAGTGGCGAACAAAACGGATAATGCAATAATGATAAATAGGATAAAAACAGTAAAAGTGACGAAGTTACGCGTATGATATAAAACTGATTTATTATGGAATAATAAAACATTAAAATTAATAAGAATTAGACAAACGTGAAGAAGAAAAAAAAAACTACTAGTTCGAAAATAAAAACAGCGAAAAAAAGTGTCACTGGCCGTTCTAGCTGTATGACGCACACAACTAGAGCGTTTATCCAACCGTCGGGTACAGGTCCGTACTTGGCAAGACCGAGTGAAACCCTTACCAGTGTCCCTGCGCCCGCAGAGATATGACTTCTAAAAGACACATTGTGCCTGCAATCTGCTCTAATTAACGAAGGTTGGCTAGTCCTTTCGTTACCGTGCCGCATACGATGTATAACTAGACTGGTCGCGATAGCCGTTGTGATCGTTATGCAAAGAAATCATATCCCAATCCTATCATTAGTAGGATCGGTCGGATAAAGCCGCGAATAGAGCACCAGACAATGGTGACCCGGCAGAACTGAGGCCAACATTAGTACGCGTAATAATAACAAAAGAAAGAGAGAAAATATTTAAAAAAAGAAAAACATTATCAAAAATCAAATTATTAAAACTAATAATCATAATCAAAATTATTAAAACTAATTCATTATTGCATCATCTTACAAAAAAAAAAAACACGAAAATACACGACGTTAAAATATAAAAAAAAAACTATACTAATACTACAAACCAATTACTCTATACCTACTTATAATACAACAATCCAGCTGGTCAGATATGAATAGCATGCCTATGTTTCAACTATTTGAAAAAAAAAAAAAGTCCTTGTTAAACTAACAAATCCGAATCGGCACTGTCTGCCTGGCTCAAAAAACTTTGACTCTCTGCACGCGTTTCGTACGCGCCAAACATCTCACCCCGTGAGTTTCTCAAAATTCTTACACTTTTACACATAAGCACGCTAGTCTTTATGCTAATTCTCCCCCGTAAAATTACTTAAAAATAAAACCAACGATAATAGCAATTTGTTAAAACTTGTTAAATTGCTAATCCTACGCTTGACTACCAAAAGTGACAAAAAACTTGACTTGTTCGGATAACTTTCAAAAACTTTTAAACTGATTAATTTATTATAAAATAATTTTCAACTTAAATTAAATTTTTCTATATAAAATAAAAAGTAAAAATTCTTATCCTATGAATTTAGTTGAAAAAAAAGTTAACAAATTATTTAGCTAAACTCTCATAAGAGTTTAAGTAATTTACCAACAATAACATAAAAAAGAAAGACACAAATTCTTATCTAGGAAACAATTAACTTATTTAAAAAAATCCTAACTATTTAATCTATATAAGTAAAGAAAACTTAATATTTTTTCTACAACTTTTTTGGTCTAAATAATATTCTGAATTAATAATTCAAAAAAAATCACAAATAAAAAACCTAGACCTTAATTTAATTAAATTCTCCTAACTATTTTATTCATAGCACGTAAAAAGTAAAAAGTAATCTTGCCTCATTCGTCTTTAAAATCGAAAAATTTGGTAATTACAGGGTTTGTTAACAACCGCGAATAAAAAAAAACTAAATCAAAAATAAATGAAAACCGCTATAATTATTTGTGTTTATCTGTACTTATATCCGTACTTATGTTTAAAAATATTGTTAAAAATGACAACAAAATGCATTATGCGCGCGAACATTTTCAAACCGTTTAACAATCACTGGGTGTGAGTATGAAATTTTGCACTTGTACGCCATGCCTGTGTCGCGCACAGGCCAGGTCAAAATCACTTAAGAAAGAGGCTGCAAGTTAAATTTCTCCGAAAAATGGCCATGTGTTTTGCGTGACCACGCGTATCTGCGCTAGAGTGTAACATATTTGAGCTTACTAGAAAAAATATATTCGACAATTTGAATATTATTTTAGAAAACTAAAAATATTTTTGTGGATATATTAACGCGATTTTTATAATAAAATGAAGAAAAAAATTGCAATCACATCTACGATTATGTGAATTTATAATTCTTATTTATTTATTTATTGCTTACTATTCGAGCATAATAATTAATTAATTTGTAATACTGTAAAACAAAATTGGGGAGAAAACGCAAAATTAAATTAATAGAGCAATAATTTAAATTGAATTCGATTAGAAAAATAAAAACAATTTTGTTATTTTATAAATTTTATACTATTGAATATCCAAAATTATTTACAACGCACTAAACAACATGCGAAAAAGATAATGTTTAACAAATACATTAAAATACAACAACTAATACAATTTCACACTCACGCCTTATTTCAAATCAAATCAATGATTTATAATCTTAAAATACCGGGATACGCGCGCTTTTAAGAAACAAAACTACAGATAAACACATGTAGCGATACACATACGAAAATACACAAGCATAAAGAAATTTCGCGACGTTTAAAATTTGATTTATTTCTATCAACTTCTATAAAAATTACGAACGCATTAAAAATACAACCGAAACACGTATACAGTGGGAGCTACTCGCTTGGTTTTTTATTAAATATTATTAAATATAAAATAAAAATTTGTAAGTTGGGGATCGAATGCGTTTTCACCATTGTGACGATTTGGAGGTTGACGCCCCCTTCTTGGGGTATGCAATGGCTGCCAAATATTATATTTTAGCCTTGCAACCCCTTACGAAGGGCTTACTTCAACACTCCAATCGCCCGCTAAAGTACCTGTAATTACCTGTGGGGGTTAGTAGCTACTATACGAATGAAACCAAGATTACTTTTATAACTAAAATCTATTAAAATAATTAATAATACATTCCGCATGTATTTGTGGAACATAACCGTACTTGCATACGGTCATGTTCCCTAACTAATACCACTTATTCTTATATCATGGTATATATGGAGATATGAGGGGAGAATAGCTACAACTTATAATTTACATTATCTGACCTTTAAGCTGGACCAGTCTTGTTGCACAACACACACACAACTAACACTAACGTATCCCAAGGCGTTTGCCTATGGGATACGTCTTAGATGGCTGTTACTTCTTAATTGCCAGGATCTCCGGAGCGTCTCTCTGATGGACCCCAAGAACCAATAGATATTTAGGGGTAGTGGTAGGGGTGTACCCTGGGGTTGACGACCATCAGGCGACAATAATTATCAATACGACGATAATTATGATTATCGTCACAATATGATTGTTCGAACAACTTCCAATTATTTCAGTCAGTGCCTTACGTTAACATGATCTATAGACCGCGTTGCTTTTACAGAGTCAAAAGTAAGTTTTTATGTTCGAATTCTTTTAATAATATCTGTTAATTGTGTATAGATAGATCACTTTGCTTGTTATTTTGCCGTAAATTGATCATTAGTAGTTAATTACCAGTAATTAATTTGTGCTTAGATAATTTAGCCTAGTAATAATGATGATTTGGGTTTTCAAATATGCGTTGGGTACTGTTGTGACAAATTTTGGGGTACGGTTGGGGTATTTCTTGTTCCTTTCGGGTGAATATTAAACAGATACAAAAATCTAACTCAACTAAGAAAGAATACGAAAGAGAAAAGAAAATAATTCAACATAAAAAAATATTTCGCTAAGAGTTTGCGTTAATTTTGTTTAAAAAATTATGTTTTGTCATATATTGCTATATTTTATTCATAAGCTTTGTTTAAATGTCTATGTTGAGTTGTGTTATAAAATATTGTTATTGACAACAATAAACGTTATATACCATTTTGGTGTTTATACCTATTGCTGTAAGCTATTTTTATGCCTGTCATAATCGTTCCTGGGGGTGTAACATACACCTTCTATAGTTAAGTTTTTTGAAGTTTTTATCTAACCCTTTATTTACTAGAATATAAATAAATAAAAACTTTACAATACAATTGCACACCTATCTAATTGATGTAAATAGAGTCATTAAAATTTTAATGAACTAAAATGCATCGAAATTTAATTTATGTGATCTTGGTAATAATGGAAAAATAACATGATACATAAACACTATACATAAATTATTAAATCATTATGAAATCAGAGATAGAAAAGTAATTGTAATTAGCCCAATAGAAAATAATACCAAACATAAGACAAATTAGAATAAAAAAATATTAGTACTTAATTATGGAATTTGGTATTTCGTAGTCGTTGTACCAAAAAAAATCTTCAGTTGTTTTACCAATGATTTATATATTTACTTTGCTATTATCCGTGAATTTTTGCAAGAATTTATAAAGTGATTTTATAATGTAGTCTTTGATTTACAGTCCTACGGTCTCCAAAGTAAAATCTCCTAACATTGCCATACCTTGCATGGAAAATTTTTTGTTTCCTTTACAAACACAAGTTTTGTTTGGTATAATACATGTAAAAAGAATTATTGATAATAACAGTAAACTTTTCTTATTGTTTTGGCATTGCATATCAGGTAATTCATTTTATTGTTTCTGACATAAAAATTGTAAAAATTGATAGTTTACTGCATGAGTGAGCTTAAAATGCGATTGTGACTATGTATTTCAAATTTCCTTTATGCTTTGAATTTTCTCAATATATTTAATGTATTTAATATAACTAAATCTTTTGAATTTCAGTAATAATGTCCATTGGTAATGATTTTTCTAAATATTTTTGCTTTGTGCGTCATGCCTCAAACAAGTGCCTCAAACTTGTTGGTGATAGTGTTTCTAAATTATGTAGTTCAATATCAAATTTTATAAATTAATTTTAATTTTTTGTGTTTTTAGATGTTCAACCAGTCTCTTATCTCACTTTTTGGTTTATTGTTTGGGCAGCAAATCGGTGTCTTGGGTCATGGGACCAGTGAGGCAGCATTAATCATGAATTTAAATAGTGTCGTTACTAATTTCTCAGGTAAGATCTTTTTTACTCATTCAAAAAATCATAGTGTTCAGCCTTATGATTGAAATGACAAAAAAATGAGCTTCAATTCTTACTAGTCAAACTGATTAAATTTTAACCGTTTACGATTTAAATAATAAATTATTAGTAATCAGTAATCAATCAAATTAAACTATCTAATCTATTATCATAAATAATTAATATAAATATAGAAATATTAATATTGACTTGAAAGTTATTAGTATAATAAAATTTTCACAATAGTGAAAATAGATATACATCATCATCAGTTTTAAAATAGATATACATCACGATTCGTTGAGAAATTATTGAAGTGTTAATTTAGTTCATTTAAAAATATAATTAATTGACTGACCGAATAAAAACATTTTCTCTTGTCTTTATGTGCTGGAACTTCATGTGCATCATTCCAATTTCGCAACATGGAATTTTTTTAATGAATTATTAAGTTAATTTGTTTTTGATGAAATTTATACAATGATTTATTCATGAAGAAATTTATAAATTTATTGTGTTGACTTATATAGTTCGTAAAAGTTGAAAAGAAATAATATACAAATTTGGATTTTATACATAACATCATGTTTCAATTAGTTTGGTGTATCAAAAACATTGAAAAGATAATAATTTGAGATTAGATAATATCCTATAAGCATTTTTTAGCCAAATTATATTTTTTACAATGACATTTCTTTAGTATAATCGATGAAAATGTTTGCCTGTAATAAGTACTAATTAGCTAATACAAATGTTTAGCAATGCCAGTTATTTATATTATAATTATTGTATAAATAAAAATAGTATATAACATCGTACCGTATGGCAATTTCCAGAAATTTTCTATTTCATAAATAAATATGACAAGTATCTAAAATTAAAACAATAAAAAACCTAACATAGTACTCAATAACAACAATTAAATTAGTGAACAAATTCACCAATGAAACCACATTTTAAATTTTTCAAAAAAATGGTCAATTTATAATAAAACAGTATTTTTTTATGTTTTTAAAGTAAGAAAATTATCTTCATCAACGTTATTTATAATTAATACAAATATAATATGTTGTTACATGTAAAAAACATTCTTTCCATAAATCAACATAAACTACAATTATTACAAATGAAAGATGTATCTATGGTAACACAATTACATGTGCCCACATCTTGCAAACTATATATTCCATTCAATAATCAGTATAATTATTTAAACAATTTAGCTATCACAAAAATTGTTACACAATATCAAATATTGATAAATTTGAAACGAAATAAGATATATAAAATTTTACATGAGTACCTAATAATTACGCAAAATGCTATTTTATGATAGATCAATTTTATATTGCTTGTCAATAATGACACATCTTTACAATTCGTGCATAAAAAGAACTTTATAAATCAATTTTCAATTTTTTCTCCTCAAATCAAATAATGATAGCGTGTTTAAAATATAATGATAGATGATTGTATGTTTTGAAAAAAATTTAGATATAAAATATTCTCAACACATACTATTCTATTAACACTATTGAATTCATGAATGTTTAACATTTAACTAATGGTTTTTCCACCAATTTAATTATATTTGAATTAAAAAATAACTTATTCAGAATAACTATTTTTTAAGAACAAAATATACATTTATAGAATGATTACAATTTCTATACACGTTCATTTTGTATATGCAATTGTTTAAAAAATCATTCAAACGGCTCAAAATTTTTCGAAAATGATCAGCTTTCAAATAAATTAAATTCTGTAAAAATTAGCTGCATGTTTTTTTGCTTTATGTATATTTTTTACTTGAAACGAACGTTTTTTGCTATTTTCGTAAAATTATCATTTTAAATAATAATGCACTTTCTAAGGCACTTAAAAACTATTATTTATTAGTTATTTTATTAGTTAGATGTATCTAATGTTTTTCATGGAAGGGCAATTTGTATTAACTTTTTGTTTCTAAATCTTTACGTTTTAGAGATTTCTGCATACCTTATACGTTAGAAACAAATTATGTACGTGTGTGTATGTGTGGGATACAAATTTTCGTCGACGTTTTCGGGAACGCGGATCAACCGATTTCAATAAGTCAAAAAACATTCAATTTGTATTAATGGGGAAAGGTGCTAAGATTTTGGCAAAGGCAGGTTTAGCCTTTTCGGAGATACGGGGCAAAAAGTGCCAAAAATGGCAATTCACTTTGTGAGAGAATGGAGCGTTTGATTTGAATAATTAAAAAAAGTTTTTATTTGTATTGAGGATATAAGCTTAAATTTTCGGAAAGTCAAGCGGTTCTGGAGATCTTTAAAAAACGTAAAAAATGCCATTTGACGGTCAAAAATGATCATTAGTAATGATACTAAAATGATAATTAGTAAATTATCGGATATTTCATAAAGATTTTATTAATATGTGTAAATTTTGTTTACACTTCTATGGGTTTCCTACCAAGATTTATAATGTTTAACTGTTATACTCCGACGCAGCGCTAATGCGCTTCGATATTTTGTCTCTAAAACAACTACGCTGCGTGATTGCTTTGAAAAAAAATCAGTATTTTCAAAAAAATTCATCAAAAATTTCAAAAGTCTCAAAATATGCTTTTTTCAAAGTTTTCAAAAAATTTTGAAGCTTTTAAACATTTTAATTTTTTATTTCATTTCCAGGTCTTGTGACGGGTCCGATGTTGAAAAAGTATTCCGTTCGGAAAGTGGCGGTGGCTGGATCGCTCCTGACCGCCACGGGTCTCATGATCAGCAGTCAGGCACGCTCCCTGTGGCTGATTCTGTTTGGATACAGTTTTTTGACAGGTGGACTAAACTAACAGATAAGACATTGATTAGGATGAATAGGAAAATGTTACATAAACGCATTTTGTTATCATTGAGAAATGGTATCTCTCGAGAAAAGATTCTGTGACGTCTATGATAATTCTATGACGTCAATTGTAAAAAATTAAATATACAAATACTAAATATAAATATTTGTTTATAGATACATAATATAAAACAAACATATATACATAAGTATATATATATATATATATATATATATATGTATGCGTGCGTGCAGGGCCGGTCCTGCCTTGCATGCGATGCATGCAAAAATGCGGACGCACGCTTTAGGGGGCGCCAAAACGAGATTCGGAAATGAAATTTATAATATATCATTCATAAGTTTTTAATATAAAATCTAGAATACTTGATAGATTATAATAAACGATCTAACTTAACTATCGATACGGAGACACAAAAAGCATATTCAGTTTGCAATGTGATATCAGTAGAAACAATTAATTACTCTGCAAATTAGTAAATTATTTTTTTGCTTATTGTTTAATGTACTTATTAAATTTTTCACCTTTTGAAGTTAATGTGGAATCAAAAAAGAAATAATCTAGTGTTCATTCCCGTAAGCGCAAACCTACGAAAATATAAATTATTGGGCATTATTGACGAAGAATTGCGAGCTGATTTAGTTTGAACGGAACTTGTTAAAAAATATATAGATACAAATTATAATAGAGAAAAATGAAAAATGGGAAGTCAGTGCTTAGAAAATGGCTTATTAGGACCGAGAAACTGAATAGTAAGTTTTGTTTTTGTTGAAAATGTTTCGCATCTGATGATCTTTGAACGTTGAAGACATGCGTGGTTAGGTTTATGGAAAATGAAAAATGGAAGCAAAATGTACTCACAATTAGAAACAAAAATCGTGAGCTCTTTTTATGCCTAGTAGTATCCATACTAAATTTAATTATTAACTAAGCAGAAATAATACATATACAAATATAATTGTGTTATGTAATTGCTTTGCATTTTTTAAAATACGTTAAAAATTTAACTTTAACAACAATCACAAACAGTAAACATGAATACAATAACAATATCGGCCCTTACGATATCAATAAGGAGAAAGTTCACGATGCAATTTTAAATATTGTAAATAATGAAAAAAAAATTACACTAAAATTTAATAAAAATCCGACATGAAAAACGAGTATTATGTTTACAAATGAAATAAGTAAAATGTTTCAAAACCCAAATATTAATATTACACATATGTTAGAAATACTTGAAAATGTAAAATATTTGATTATGGTCAACCCGAAAATCGCTTCGGTTTTCTAAATAAAATTAAAATCAATGTATTTTTTTTGTATTATTTTTTAACAGCAATCAGAACCTTACGTCCTATGAGCTGTTGGGCTGAAACTTCTCCTTACTACGTATTTTTTTTTAGATTAGATTTTTTTAGACCCAATGGTTAATCCATCCCTATTTGATGATTTTGTTATTAGAATTAAACTAATAGGGCTGACTTTTTATTGGTGCAGCAATGCCGGGCAAGGGCTATTTTCACTTGGAAACATATTGCTATCTATATTTTCAAGTGAAAATCGTTGTCACTGCTGTCTGACAACAGGCTGCTCGAAGTGGGTATCGAACCAGAGACCTCTGAAACAAGTCCCGTCGCTCTTAACCGCTTACCTACAGGCGAGCCCTAATGTATTTTATACGCTTTTAGATTACATATATCTAATTTTTTGTGTACTAAATCCAGAAAGATTAAAAATCAATTTAAAAAATTTACATAACTATTTGTATATATATTTTAATGATAAAGGTTAAAACAGTTAAAATTATTGGGAGGAGGGGGTCGCTAGAACAAATCTTGCATGCGGGCGCTGAGAACCCCAGGACCGGCCCTGCGTGTGTGTATATAGTTATTTTATATTTTTTTACATATTGTAATAGTTAAACGTATTTTCAAAATTTTATCATTCATTTACTGTAATTTCATAAACAACATTGTTTATGATATTTTTGAGTCTTTTTACGAGCATTGATGACAAACGCTAATTTACCGTAATGTACCTCAGTTAATCAATATTTTATATTAAAACAATTTGTTTAGATATTAAAAATTAATTTTGATGATAGAAACATTATAAATGACGATCATTCAATTCGATATGTCAAACGAATAAGGCTCGTGACAAAATTTTTAGTATCATAAAAAAAAATTAAAAATGATTTCGAATGATTTTAAAAATTGTTTGAAAAAAGTCGTGGAAGAAGATAACTTTATTAAAATAAAAACTAATTTCATAATGCATGATCTGAAATTAAAGATTTTAAATAAGCAAATCAAACCTGAAAATCGAGTAATGGCTGTTGAATACGAATTTAATGAACTTATCCAGGAATTTGAACACAGAATGAATGAACTCCAAAACAAGTACAAATCTCTCAATGAGAATTATTGTCAAAAGCTAACAGAAGCAAAAACAATGGTAGAAGAGTCAGAAAGAAGGCTCCTGGAAGGCAATAGTAAAGCACAATAATATATATAATTATGGATTCTAAAGCGGCTTTAATAATATCATGTATAACTTCAATAATACCTAAACAGTCTTTTATTCTTTAATTATATTTACTACGTTTATTACTATTATAAGTAATAATAAAATAATAGGTTAAAATAATAAAATTTCTAAATTATGTACAATTGTAAAACTTAATTAAGGATACTTTAATAATATTTAAAATTTAATACTCAATAAGGATAATTACTAATATCGTATTTAATGCTTTTTACATATGTTAAATTTCACAAATTAATAGGTGTATATTAGGGCTTGTCGATTTAAAAGTCAATTAGGCATATATGATTTTCGGATACTAAGGATCAAACTAAGATACTTTTCTAAAGAAACCATACTTCTAAAATGAATTGTGATGTCTCGTGCATTGTCCCAAAAATTGGGGTCAAATTTTGAAAAATCCTGTTTTGGCCCACTTAGACTACCCTAATCGTGTCCAAATGTATGACCGGACCCCACTAACTTTGAAACGCTGATTCACCCATTCCCATCATTCAACATCCCCTTACAGGTTTCCCATACAAAAATTGCAAAAATCATTGGTATTTTACTCAGCAAAAAAAAATTTTTAAACCATTTTTTCGGTTATTAATTTAAAAGTTACTTAGGCGCATATGATTTTCGGATACTAGGGATCAAACTAAGATACTTTGCTGAAGAAACCATACTTCTAAAAAGAATTGTGACATACACACAAAAAGTTTTTCACAAAAAAAAGTATTAAAATTTTTTTGTTTATATGCTTTTATGGCTCCGACATTAGAGAGCCGTGCAAAATTTTCCTGACTTAAAACCAAAAAAGACTACAAGCAATAATTTATAAGATTTACATAGTTTTATTTACATATATGATTAAATAAATTTTATAACAACAATAATTGTTGATTTTTGTTATGTTGAAGTACCAAAATTGACGCAATTTTTGTATCTCTAAGGGGAGGTTCTAGGGAGTGAGCATGGGCAGATCGGCTTTTGGGTCAATGCACGAAACTTCAGTATTTATTTTAGAGATATGGTTTCTTCAGCAAAGTATCTTAGTTTTGATCCCTAATATCCGAAAATCAGATGTGCCTATGCAACTTTTTTACCCATACAAATCGATCCGCCCTAGTGTATATGTATTTATTAAGGGTTTGCTGCAACAATTATGTTTAAATTAATATATCTTGACTGATTATATTTTTACGAAATGAAGATAGATAGTTACTGTAACTATTTATTACTTCATAATTTATCATTTTTTAGAAGAAGTACGATGATACACTTTATGTCGTGTTTGGGGCTAGTAGTAACATCTACCAGAGCAAATAGTAACGACATTACTTCGGATAAATTATTCTTTGCTTATTTTTAAGAATTTTTTTGTTCTTTAAGTATGTGATTTTTCTCATAAGTCAACGTAAACTAGAATTAACAAATAGAAGATATAGTGTCTCCTGTAACACAATCACATTTGCCCACATTTTACAAACAATACATTCAAACCAATCTTTTTCACTTGCGTCTGGAAAGGATTCACTACATACCAGACAATATCATTCTTGCATGTTTCAATTAGCCCCAAGTGTGCTTATTTACATTAATCAAGATAATTATTTAAACAATTTAGCAATCACAAATATTGTTACACAACATCCAAGTGTGATAAATTTTAACAAGATAATATATATAAAATTAAAAATTACTACATAATAATAATGCTAACCGGAATTTTATGTAAATCATTAGCTATGACAATATTATAAAGGTTGGTTTACATGTCTAAACAAGGCAAAAACAAAGAAATATTTAAAAAATGGCTTGAGATGCTATTGAAAAACGCCTGTTACAATAGGTCCCTACCTTCCTCATATTTATAACGTAGTTTTATTGGAAGGAGATATCTCATATTTCCGAAACTTCGAATAAAAAATTAAACAAATATACTGAATTAAATGAATAAATATTGCATGGATTTAATTGTATTTTTGCATAAGCGCTTATTTACTCGAGTAAATATAGTACTTTAGGCACAAATAAACTATTGATGAAATTGAAAATTTATTATTATGTTTATAGGTCTAGGTTTGGGTTTCATAATGCCTTCGGTGTTCTTAGCAGTGACCTCTTATTTTAAGGTGCTCCGAGGCCGGGCGGTGGGCCTGGCAGCAGCCGGTACCGGCCTGGGACAAATGGTAATGCCTCATGCCGTTCGAGCACTGTTGGACGAATATAGTTTCAGAGGAGCCACTCTTATTATGGCCGCTATGGCTTTACAAGGGGTAATTATAGACATCACATTACATCACATTATAGACATTATAGAAAACGTCTAGAAAGAAACAAAGTAAAATTTATAAAGTATCACTTGTTTACATTTGTTATATATCGTTACAGTTAGAACTATAGAAAACAATTCATTATCCTATTTTAAATTTAATTGATATATCTTGAAATAGAATCTTATTACGTCACTCATTAAGTCCGAAGGATAACACATAGATTATGTAGCTATGCAATCGCATCCACATGATTTGTAGGAAGTAACAACTTTAAGAAGATACATGCCAAAATTTCATGACAATACGACGATTAGTTTATAAGTTATAAGGGTTCAAGTAACGCTACTTTTGAGTTTTTCGAAACCATGAATTCAATGCATTTTCATGGGTTGATTCATCATTGTTTTTTTATGGGTAAAAATACCATTGCTGCCAAGGTATCGCTTGATTGTCAGTGTTATCTGAACTGTGTCAAATCGAGGCAAATGCTGGAGAAGTGGTCTGATGATTATAATCGTGGCCATATGGACACTGACGGTGCTGAACGCTCTGGAAGATATCAATAGAACGTGATGGGCATATAGTTCACGAATATTTAAATAGTAAAAACCTCTCTGCTAAATGAGAGCCGCGCAAACACATTTTACCAGAAGCATAACGAGTTGATGATTTGTAAGGTATTTGGAGCGGTTTAATCAAAATAAAACTGAGTTTTTGCATCAATATATCGCCATGGATATGACCTGGCTTTAACACTTCACTCCAGAGTCGATCATACAGTTAGCCGAGTGGAATACACGTGGACTATACATAATGACGAAAAAAATGCAACCAATCAATTGGCAAGGTTATGGCGTCAGTTTTTTGGGATTCTCAAGAAATGATCTTCATACACTATCTTGAAAAAGACCAGACCATCAACAGTGACTATTGCATTATTGCATAACGTTATTGGAACATTTGAAGATCAAAATTGGATAAACGTTCCCAGTTCCCCTGTTCTTCTGTTCTCAGATCTTAAAAATATGCTTGCTGTGAAGAAATTTTTGCCAGATGATTTGCACGAATTTTGTGGCTAAGTACAAATCGTACTACAAAAATGGTTTCGAAAACTTTGAAGTTCGCTATAATTGGTATATTGTGTTTGAAGAAAACTATATTAAATAAAAAAAAGTATTTTGCCAAAAAAAATGTATTGTTTTAGTTATCCTTCAGACTTATTGAGCAAAGTGATAAGACAAAGTGGCATCAGAATTTGGTATGTGCGTAGTTTACGCGCCATTTCTATTATCAGTTATAAAATACAATTTGACTTTAATTTATTTTCCAGGTGGTAGGCGCTTCTTTATTTCAACCCGTAAAGAATCACATGAAACCCGTCAATGACGTGCCGACCGAGAAAAAATCTTTACTTGACCCGATTTTAACCCCTGACACTTCAGACGCTGAAGAATCTGATGATTCAGTTCTTTTAAAGAATAAAAATTGCAAAAACTGCGTTGACTGCGTTGAAGCTGGTAAAAACAACGACAAATTAAATATAAAAAATTGTGAGAAGAAGCATATCGAAGAGGAAAATGAAAGGGACGATGCCCCATTGATATCTGGTATTTATCGATGATTTATTTATTATTTTCCAATAAAATTTAAGATAAAAATGCTTTATTCATGTTATATTATTTGTGCTTAGGTTGCTCTTGTAATCGCTGTGACAAATTTCCAATTAGAATGAAAAGTTTTTTTTAACGCGGACTATAATTTTCTATTTGCTTTTAGTATTTTTGAATATTAATGATTAAATAAGGCACAATAAAAGTAGCATACAACACGCAAATCTTAAGCTATATTCACGTTAAATCTGCAAGTCGCTTTGTCTTTTCTTCTCTACCAGTTGTGACGTTGTGAGGCATACGCAATTAAAGTCGATTTCTTAAGATAATATATGAGCAAAGTCTTATGATAAAATTATATTAATAAAAGAAAAAAAAATAAAACCGGTATTGTACGCAAATTGCTTGTAAAATGTAAAACATTTATCAACGCTTTCTCTCTATTATTATTTTGCTTGCATGTAATTATCTCCGGTAAGAATGCAAATATTAAGAAGTTCTAGAACGTGTGAAAACATACCCAAATGTTTTCGTTCACAGTGCAAAGGACGTGCTGGAAGAAGTTTATAAGCCTAATGGACCTGGATCTTCTCAAGGATTTGACTTTTCTTAACATAGTGTTCGGAGTCGCATTAGCCTATACCGCCAGTATCAATTTCAGCATGTTATTTCCATTTTTTTTGCAAGTGAGTAGCCCTACATCAATATTCATAAATTGTGTAAAATATTCTTACTAATGTGTCGTATTTTGATTCAAGGAATCAGCTGGACTAAACCGAGCTGATACAGCGATGTGCATGTCAGTTCTGGCTGGGGCGGACATTGTTTCTCGGTTAACTCTTCCAACAATTACACAAATTCTGGGATTTTCTTGTAGATTGTCTTACCTCATCGGAGCTGCCGCTCTAATTTTAGCACGGGCATGTGAGTACTTAATAATAAATTTGTACATTATTGTTTTATTATGAATTTTTATAAAGTTTAGTGGGATAACCTCACACCGTGGAATAAATCAAAATTTAATATAATTATCTGATATAATGTATGCTTTCAAATTTTTACGTCAGCTGTGCAAAGTCACTTTATTAGTGGAATTATTGTTATTTAGAAAGTACTATACAACTGAAAAGCAACTTGAAAGTTTAAAAGTTGAATTAAACGTATGACCAGTCAGTTTCTTAGTGTACTATTTGATTGTGATTGAATGATTCCACTTTATAAAAACAACCGTATATGTGATATTTTAGTTAAAAAATGATACTTAAGAAAATAAAATATGTTTTAATTAAATATAATTTTTGAATTTGTAAACTTTTGAAATTTTTTTAAATAGTTCTCATAGTTGTGCCGTGAGTTGTTGTTAGAAAATTTCAAATATTTTTACGCTGCCCGCATATAGTGTGTTAATGAATCAAAATTATTATCGCATAATCATATTTCTGCTGAAATTATATTTTCAATAAATAGGAATAGTTTATTATATACATATATGTTGTAGTGTTAGCTGAGCAAAAAAGTTATACCGGTCTTATCGCTATTTCTGCACTTTGCGGTTATGTACGGGCGGCGACTGTTGTCAACCAGAACCTGGTGCTGAGCGAACACTGCAAAGCGTCCAGGCTGCCTGCCGCCTTGGGTCTCGGCATGTGCGTTAAGGGAGCATTTGTCATAACTATCGGGCAGTTTCTTGGTAATTATATATGCACAGAAATCAGAACTGTACGCACGTTGAAAAGAAATTTTCTATAATGCATTGTCTCAGATTCTTAACTGTTTTTATCACAGTTACAGACACAAATTTCAGCTTATTGATATAAAATCTTGTAATAATAGTTAAAATTAATATTCAAATTATTATCATTCGATTATTGAATGAAATTTATTTACTCTCATTTATATTTTCAGGTTGGCTTCGTGATTACACGGGCAGTTACAGTCTATGTATACATGCTCAAAATATTCTTCTGATTCTCATAGTGATCACCTGGGTGCCCGAACTTCTTTACAAATACTGCAAAAGAAAGTCGGATAAATTGCCTTTACGATGATGTCTATATATTTTAATTAACTTATTGTTAGTTTAAATATCGAATTTTTAATTTAATAAGTCGCAAATTATGTATATATTTTATAAGAAAAAGGATTATATTTAGCTAGTCTCAAATTGTAAACAAAATACGATACCAAAGTGCATTCTTAAGCACGCACCAAGTAGTTAATAATGAAAGACTGTTTTATAGATAAATAAAAGTATTGTTCAGAATTTGTAAAACAATAAAAAATGCATAAAACATTATGTGTGACTTTATTTGCATTTTTAAATCATGTCCACCGAGATCCTGTTAAACAAGTCAGGTTGTCTCAAATTCATGTTTATAATAAATAAAAGAAAAAAATGCTCAATAAATCATTGTATAATTAATTTTGTATATTAAAAAGTTACAGAATCAAAGTGTTTAATCAAAATATTTACATTTTTAAAAAATATTACAAATGGAATTTGCTGCAGAGTAATTCTGAATTAAATCTTCTCCTCCAATTGCGTTGTAAATTCATAATATCACTGGCAATATAAAGTCCCAATATTTTAAAATATACGGCCAAGTTCATAAAGCAAATCGTAGCTAGGTAAATCATCTTGTAGTTTTAGTTAATTTGATTGTATAGCTCATGTACTATTTCTAAAAATAATATTAAATAAATTTAATATTTAAATAAATAATATTACGACATTTAAAAAATTAACACAAATATTGTTATTTATATAACAAAGATGCACAGTTTGCATACTTCAAAAAACGGTCTAATCTAGTTAAATAATTCATTGTAATTACCTTTTCTTATGTGATTCGGCAAGTAAACATGCATTAAAAAATTTGGTTTAAACTGTATATTTGCATTAGTGATGATTTATTTTTGGTTTTGTGGAATTTAGCTTAAATGCACTAGCGGTTTTTGCATTTTTTTATTTGTTTATATTTTGTTTAACTGGGAATTACGACTACTTTGTTTAAAAAATATGCCTATCAATAATTTCATTTTGTCATATTTTATATTATGATCTTAGACAATATTAGAATTAAACATATGTCTATATGGTTCAGCTTATACGTAAATCGAACCGATGTACAGCATTTATATTAATATGATTTGCAATTATTAATAAAAGTTTATTTCTATTCTGATATTGTGGAATCACAAAGTCTTTATAATGTTGAACTGACATAAGTTTCAAATTTGGCGCCGAGCCGCACTGCGTGACATTCAGCTCTATCTTCACTATAAACTGAGCGGATGTACGACGAAGTTAGGGCAGTCGAACCGCATGCGAAATAAATTCTTTCTGTGGTTCTTATTGCTGGAGACAGACACTGACAAAGGTATTTTGTCTAAATTATCTTGAATAAGCGTGCTAATAATAATTATAGTGATTTATATTTAATATACGTTGTGCTGTGCTCGTACGTTTATAATTTGGATTAATATATTCAATAATTTAGATTAATTTTGGTTTTGTTTTTTCTCAGGCAAAAATGGGTCGTCGACCGGCCAGATGGTGAGTATTTTATTTTATTCAATTATAAATATGCGTTAATTATTGTTTTTTATTATAATGCTATTGAAATAATTAAGTGCAGTGCCACGTTTTTGTTAAATTATTTGAGGTTATGTTAGACATTTTAGTGCTCCGACATTTCACGAGCTTCTCCACTTCCATATAATTAGTGATCACTTTATTATTGTTTAATTGAAATTGTGCGAGAACTAGTTTTTAATGTAATATTTATTTTTTAGTTATCGCTATTGCAAAAACAAGCCCTACCCCAAATCTCGGTTCTGTCGTGGTGTGCCAGACGCTAAAATTCGTATCTTCGATTTGGGTAAGAAGAAGGCAGGCGTAGAAGATTTTCCACTATGTGTGCATCTTGTATCTGATGAATATGAACAATTGAGTTCTGAGGCACTGGAAGCAGGACGTATTTGCTGTAACAAATACCTCGTTAAGAATTGTGGTAAAGATCAATTCCACATCAGAATGAGGCTGCATCCTTTCCATGTTATCCGCATCAATAAAATGTTATCGTGTGCTGGAGCTGATAGGTAGATACATTATTTTTATCTTATTTCACTTTTTTGCCTAGGTGTTTTATTGTCACAAATTGATTAGATGCAATTTGTTTTAGTTTTCATTGATAGTTTTTAGGTTTTTTACTGGATTTCTGTACCAGTTCGACATTAGTCTCTGAAACCTTTAATCAATAAAGGCGTTCAATGACTGTGTCGTAGATCAAGTGTCAATGTGACCCGAAGGCATATTCCATAGACTTTTTGTAGCCTTGAGGCTGAGACAACTTAGAGAACCATGCCGATGACAAATTCTTTAAAAATATTTAATTTTTTGTGGAATCTTGTGACTGTTGTATTAAAATCAAAATATTTTTATTTAGGCTCCAAACTGGAATGCGTGGTGCTTTTGGAAAACCACAAGGTACTGTTGCCAGAGTTCACATCGGTCAACCAATCATGTCTGTTCGTTCCAGTGACAGATACAAGGCCGCTGTTGTAGAGGCTCTGCGTCGTGCTAAGTTCAAGTTCCCTGGCAGACAAAAGGTAGGATACGAAATAATTTAAATATTTAAATCTGCTCTTTGTGAATAATCAAATTTATCAAGAAATTATCGTTGGACTTGATAAAAAAGAAATCGTCTTTTATTTGATATTATAAAAGAAATTGGTAGTGACTTAAATTTACATACTCTGACATTTGCAAGTGAACTTCAGATGCAATTTGTGCATTTGATATTAGTACTGACCAATGATATTGTCACTAGTAAATCGCTGGAAAATTGTAAATATTATTGGTTTTCAACGATTTATTCAACTCATTTTTTTGCCTTCATTATGTGATTATGGTGTATGCACTTTATGGTGACTGTGGGGACACAATTTGAAGCAATAATTTACTGGCAAACAGTAACTTTAGAGTGATGTCATAACATAAAATGTTAATGACATACAATTCATGATTTATATTTGTGTTACTTAATATTACTGTTCCGTCTATCAATAGATAAATCTATTGAAATCTATACAAAAATACAGGTGATAGTGATATGTATACTAGAATATTTGAGGATTAGCAATTCAATGATGCTGCTGAACTACGTGTAATTTTCAAATTAGCAGTGGCCACTAGCATTTATGAACATTATTGTTCCAGATCTATGTTTCCAAGAAATGGGGATTCACTAAATATGAGCGTGATGTATATGAGAAGCTTCGTGATGAGGGAAGATTGGCTCCTGATGGTTGCAATGTTCAATACAGGCCAGAACATGGACCATTGAGCGCTTGGAAGAAGGTTCAAGAAGACCTCGCTGCCTGTTAATTTTCTTACAAAAAATATGTAAATGTATCGAATACATTGATATAAACAAATTCTGTGGTTCTTTCTTAAATGGATTACTTTGAAATCCGTAAGCTATATGCTTCATTACAAAACTTAAAAGTCGATCATTACTGAACAATGCTTTGTTCATTTATGCGAATTTTAATTTAAAACAATATTTCGAGCGTTTCACTAAGTTTCTTGTACATACATTAAGTTTTAAATTTTGTCAAGTAATGCTTTTTTTCTTGAAACAGCCTGAAATAAATTTTACATTTTTTACTTAAAAGCACATTTTAAGTGTATAAAATTTTCAATTTATTTTTTTACTTAGCATTCATTAAATGAATAATAAATATTAAATCTGATGTATGGTACGGTAATGAAGTAATACTATGCAGTATTCACAATTCTAAAGAACTTATATTAGCTTATGACTACATGGCTGATCCCCTTGCAAGAGTTCTATATCATGTTACATATGTATATACACATTGCACCTTAACATTGAAGCTTGTATAAGTATTTGAATTTCCTTAACTAATTCTATAAACTAAAAATATAAAAACCTTGTGATATCTATGCACAATTCATTAGATTCACATGTTACAATTTTATTTTCTTTGAACACTTTGTTTGGAAAGTTTTACTCTTAAGTTACTACGAGATCTCGCTAAATCAACAAGATAATATCACTTGTTCGAACTCATTTACCCTTAATTACTCGTCCTAATTTTGTGTTAATCATATCAAACTTCTAGAGTTTATACATAATTATTTAATTTAGTAACAACATAGTGTTATTAAATTATGTTGATACTTCTTTTATATTTGCTTTAATTTTAACTTTTGCATGTTCAACACCATTCTCTTTTAGTTTTCAATGAACATTCATTTTGATACATGTTTTTACTCATGAAAATTGTTCTTTGCTCGCTAAATTATTTTAAAATGTTTCTTTTACACATTTTCAAGTACTAGTTAAATCTTCAACAGTATCACACTTACATATAACATTCACTGCAGACCACTGAATTTCATGCACACTTCTACACAAATTTTATTGTTTTTATCAAACTTCAGTTTGTGGCACTCCTTGAACCAATTGAGTCCTACTTCTGCTTTGGCCTTTTTTGCTTCCCATAACTGGGGTGCCTGCCATCTTTCTATTAGTTTCAGTAGGATTTGGACTGCTAGTCACACAATCTTTGAGACTTACAGCACTGCTGCTAGTTCCTAGAGATCCTTGAGAAGCTGATCTCGCTGGGCAAGTGGTAGCTGCACTGGAAGGTGGTCTTGATGAAGATGGCGCCCTTCCTCCTGATATGTGACGCTCCACAAGTGAGGTCGGCGTATCACGGTACTCATATATGTTTTCGCGAGATTTTTGTCTGGTGCTATGATTTTCTATACCGCCTACCCCATCTCTATGGACATCTTCAGGCATCATAAACAGATCGCCAGCATCACTGTAGTAACGATCGCCTTCCCTGTTAAAAAAAAAAATAGTATTGGTATTGCTGCGTTATTAATCATTTTTTATATTCATGGTAATGTACTCAATTCATTAATTCTGAGATTGGTGATTGTAATCAGTGGCTACTCAAATGTGCAGTTTAAAAAGTTGACGATCTCATTGTTTACCTCGCTTACCTCTTA